CACATATTGCATCTAAATGAAATACTCCTTTAAAAATCTAGAACCAATTATATTGTTATTAAACTGTCTCTGTATTCAAGACAGATTAAGTCACATAAATTCACTTAGTAACTGGTGGGAAGTTCTAACAATATTTAGCTGACATTTAAGTGATACTCTCAAACCAAGCAAATAAAGTTAACTTTCTGGCTGATGAGAGAAAATAGGTTTTTATTCGGTACTATTGAACTCTTTGAGAAAGCTCATCGTTAGTAGGAAAAGGATGCAGTTCATTTATAGGAAGCTGTTTGCTTTCCTGCTGAGCCAGCGGATCCCTGGAAGTTGTGCTTCTCTGGGAGGTGCAGCCAGAATGCTTCATAATTGACATGATCACATTGGTCAGCAAGTATGTTGAGTCTGAAAACAAGTGTGATTCCAGCTCTATTAGTGTCAACAATTGCTTGTGGTTTGATTTCCAAACAAGATACCGACTTTGTTTGCTGTCGCCATTGTAGTGTCAGTGGCCCCCTAGGTAAAGAACCGTTCATTCATCGCTGAGCGTTCTCCTTCTGGGTTCTTTCTTCAGGGTCTTTGGAATTAAAACTTTGCCCTTTGGCAAAGCAAGAGCATCTGTCTTACTCCCAAATGGAGCTCAACCTGAGAAGCAATGATCACAAATGGTTGTCTTCAGTCAAGATTTGGTCATTTGGGTTCAGACCATATTCCTCAAGGAATTTCTTATCCATGACTGTGGGTAGGTCCAAAAGAAGAGTTCTCAGTTCTAAGACAACATAATCCTTGATGTTGGAAATGCATCCAACTACTTTTTGAGCACTATCATTTTCTTCAGTTGCTGCTATATTTGTAGCCTGGCCTCAATACCTGAGATAGCCTTTAATCTAGAAAGCAAATAACAGTTTGCATGAGGAACTTAACCAAAAGAGAAGCCCATTTTGCTATAAAATGTATTCGTATATTTTCTGTTTACTTGTTGATATTTTACTGTGCTTTTTAGTTTCATTCTTAGAACCATATTCTAAGAGTATGTAGACCAACTTTCCTCAGCTTTTTAAGTTTTCATGTCGCATTTTGCTAAATACAGGAAAGTTTCCCTCTACTATCTTTATCCTCAATGATAATACATATCTTTAGGCTTTACCTATAGAAAGGAGATATTGGTCCTACAGAGAGGTATGGGGAAAATCTCTTTGTAAGAGTTTTTAATTTGCTTTATTCTAGTGCATTATTTTGGGGGGGGGGTGCGGCTAAAAATGAATAAGCAGAAATAATATTTTCAATCTTTGGAAATAAGAGATAAATTTGTAGATACTAGTCTTTCTGCTTGAGCTTGAAGTTGTTTGAACCTGGCCAAAGGAAAAAGATATAGATAGTGCCCCCTCCTCTCTTGTCTTCATGGTGGCCCAATGTCTGATCAGTTACCCCCGCCCCAATCTGGACTCCTCCTGGACACCCCGCCCCCTACACCCTCTGCACAACTCACAGCTAATCAATCACCAAGTCCTGTTGACTCTATTTTCTCCTTTTAATTTTTTTGTCATGTTTTGTTCTTAACGTGCACCCTAATGGGGTCCAGGAGCTAGAAAGCCCTTTTGTCTGTAAGATACACGACACCTGTACCTGTACTTGTACTCTGAAGATACTTGTGGAAATGGTCCTACACAGGAGACCAACAGTTTTGGCTCAATTTGCCTACTAACTCTTTGGTTTGCTATGTGACCCTGAAAAAGTAATAAATTGATATTATACGAGATCTCAGTATTGGTTTGTCATTGCTTTATAACAAACTACCCCAAAACTCAGTGCCTTAAACAATAATTTATCGCAAGTCTAAGGGTCAGCTGAAGTTGATTGATGTAAGCTAGACCTGGCTGGGAGGCTCAGCTGGACTTCCTTGTGGATCTGTAAGTCAGCTGGGAACGGGCTCATTTGGCCAGGCTCAGCTGGGGCACCTCTGCTCTGTGTCTCTCATGTCCCTTTGAATAGCAGCTTAGCCAAAGCAAGTTCTCAGGGTGATGTTGACTCTACTTCCCAACTGTCACCATCCTATTTCTTGCCTGGATTAAAGTGTTCGATCCAACCATCTCCCCCCCACACCCCCTCCCCCACAGAGTTAGTCTCCCTGCATCCTTCCTAATCTGTCCCCGCTACAATATGACCTTTAAGAAATACAATCACCCTGCTTAAAGAACTTCAGTAGCTTCTCACAGTACTTAGACCGAGGCTCCCAAGGTCTTCCACAGTGTGGTCTCCGCCTTTCTCCCCATCCTTGCATTGCACTCTTCTTCGTGACTCAGGGCTTTGCATACGCTATTCCTCCTGCCCCGAGACCTCTCTCTACGCTTTACTAGTCATCTCATCATCATTTAAACTTAAACTTAAATCTTCCTTCCTCAGGGAAGCCTTCCCTGAGCCTCACAATCAACTCCTAGAGTGCTTGTATTTTACCCTTTGTACACTCCTGAGGCTTGTCATTTTCTCATTTAATTGCCCTGCTAGATTGTAAGCTCTGTAAAGGCAGGGGCTGTTTTGTCCACTGGTCTCCACCTGGCACCAGTTGGCTCTCAGTCGATACTGTATGAATTAAAAGATGAGGGGCACAGGGTAAAGAGCCTGGATCTGCAAATGACCTGGAGATGCTCAGGATCTTAGTTTGCACACCTGCAGATTGGGGGGTTAGACTAGCTGAACTCTAATGTCCGTCAGCTCTGACATTTTGTCACCTTTGTAGACTTCCCTGCAGCCTGTCCTCTTCGCTCCTGGATGTCAGGTTGCACTATTGGTTATATTCAGGGACTTGAGATATTGGGTGAGGCTGTAAAGGGAGTTAAAGGTGACTGCTGCTTGGTGGCAGGGCAGAGTAGATGTAAATCAAGCTATGTCAATTCGATGATCTTCTTTCAGTTACACAATCCAGAGAACAGTTACCAGAACAACGTAGAGATGCACTTGGCTATATAAGGCTTCCCAGGTGTTAAAGCATTATAGCTAGAACAATCAAATATTATCTCTGAAGGTCTAAAAAATGGCCATGCTTGGCCAGTGTTTTTTGTCTCAGGAGACGTTAACTTATAGCGGTATTTCTTATTGGCTAAATGTTGACACTGGAAAGTAATCTCTAGATCACAGCCTAAACCCACCTTCGGAAGAGTCGCAGATGCTAGGAAGTTCTGTGAGGCTGTGTTGGAGAGTGCAGCTTCCTATCAAGACCCTCGTCCTGAGTCCCTTGGCTGGGGCCTAGTTAAGCAAGTGGAATACTTTGCTATAGAAACCGAGTGATCATCCCCATGGCAATGTCGCTTTATTCAAATTTGTAGAGCCGACTTGGGGTCCTCTGAATTGGGGAATACTCCATACAACGCTCTATCTGCTGCACCTGCCTGCACCTGAAGTTTGAGGAGCAAGACCCCTGTTTGTGGCTTCTGTCACTGAATTCTCATTCATGTATTTCCAGATTCCAAATGCATAATTTTACACGAGTTACAAAAATTAGCTCATTTATTAAGGCTTCAGGCATGTTCAAACTCACTCATGTGCTTTAATTAACATAAAAGCAACCTGCTGTTCAAGGCCTGCAGAACAAGTTAAGTTTGCTGCCTGTGACTAAAATCTGGGGGAAAAGTCTCCTACGGAGCTGTTAGTCTGCTAGTAATTTGAGACTTGTAGAGGAGAGGTTTAAATCTGGACTCAAGGGTTTCCAAGTAGCAGCTGCTCTAATTAATTAAGTATAAACCAGAGGTGACATCCGTTAGCTAGCACTGTTGTTAAAGTTATTGCTGAACGGTCACTTATGCTACTGACGCAGAGTGGAAAGCGACCCAAGGCCGCACACACTGGGGCTGGGGCACTCTGTCCCACAACAGCAACGGAAGATGGAGAGCACATTTCCCACATTACCAGCATTTGTCATCCGCCGAATGGTTACTCTCACTGCAGCCCTGAGACTGGGCACGGACAGTTTAGAGGCAATAGATCTGGGACCTGCCAAGAATTGCTCAGTCTCCCAGGTGCACTTTATCCATGGGCAAAGCATCCTGAAGTCACAAGTTGTTTTGCCAAATAGAGTGATTACATGTTTAATCTATTTTGAATGCACTATTACAAAATCTACAATCCAGAGATGAGATGAGCAGATACGATCTTTTAACATGAGTGTGAAGATGTGGCCCCAGACTGTTCGTGCTCAACTCATGCAACTGTGAGAATTAAAATGGGGCGGGGCGGGAGGGCAGTTCAGTGGCATGTTGGTGACACTGTCACAGCTATTTAGGACCTGTAAATATTTATATGAGCCTGTTCTAAACCTAAACACATAAGTAATACGTTTAGTACTGTTTAGAGAAACAAGAAATCACTCAGTGTTTGGGTCCCCCATAAAATCTCCAGAAGTCAAGTATGTTATTTAATACCTTCTTTCCATGTTTTGAGCTGATGTTATTCCAAGGATAAATGCATACAAATATCTTTTTTTTTTTTTTTTTAACCTGTAATATACTCAAAGAGCAGGATTTCTTGAGCTGGCTAAACATTAAAACCACTAGGAGAGCTTTAAAAATGTACATATAAATTATTGTTTCACTTCTCGCTTACTAAGTCAGAATCCAAGTGGAGGGAAGCAACGAGAAATTTCGTTTTAAAACTCTCAAACACTCCAGGTGATTCTGACTCGGTAAGTGAACTTTGGGAAACCAGCTTTGGAAAGCAGTGCTGAAAGCACTGAGTAGACAGGTTGTGGAGTGCCCTGTCTCTAGGTATGTATCTGCCTGCCTGCCATCCTTGTGGTTACATAGAGCCCAGGTATCAAATGTAGAGTGTACCCTCTACCCTTTCGGCCCTGCCCTCCTCCCTGCTGCCTCCCAACTATCTTCTGGTCCTGGACTTGCTTCCACAAAGGGAGGACTCAGCTTAGGGTTGGAGCCTCCTTGCTGGTCCCTCCAGTGCCCTCTGCAGGACCTGCATCAGCAGAAACGAAAGTGCATTAATCCCGATGAGTGTATCTGGTGTAGCAGGCTTAGGGAGACGATTCTGTTTATTGTCAAGGACCAAGAAACAAAGTCTGGAGATGCTTTATACAAGTGGTGATGAACCACTAAAGAGGGGAGGGGTGGAGAGGAGACACAATAATACATGGCATTATTTTGAGTGAGCTCCGGCTCTTCATTCTAACACTTGAACCAAGGAAAGACAGCCATTTTTTTTTCCATGAAGGAAGGCTGCAGAAGAATGGAAACCTCACTCAACTGATCAGTTCCTACAGGGTAGGCTGAGCAAGAGGCTATTTTAAGCTGATGCAGGAGGTCACTCGTGGTCTGTTGGGAGCCCCATCCCAAGCACAGAATGGATGCTGAAGGTGGTCCACAGTTGCTGGTGGTGGCTGGTGGTAGCGGTCTTTAGGTCTTGGGCTTTTCTTGATTCTCAATGATAAGCTTGTCAGTTGAATACAGTTGGCCAATGTGGACCTGAAGGCAAAGAAAAGACGCAGATCAAGAACCATGGGACTCCATTCATTAGCTATGAAAGGTCAGAAAGAACATTTCTAACATTTAAATGTAAATGTAAATCATTTAACTGCACTGTGGGGCAAAATGTTGTCACCAGATTTGCCTTGCGAATTCCCTGCACCACCTAACTCCCACTCCCTCACTGTGAGAACAAGTCAGGGATCCGCATACTCATTCCTTCTTGCCTTTGAAATGGCACCAGCATCCGAAGCCTTCATTTCTCTGGCTGTCCTGAGCTGGACGAGACCATCCACCAGGTTCCCTGCCTGGAGGCTCACAAGAGAACCAACCAGATGTGTGCACAGCAATGCCTCACCTAACAGGATTTCTTTCCTTTAGAACTGTTTCTTCCATAAGAAAAGACTTCCTGCATAAAGCGGCAATGTATGTTGTCTACGTCAGACTAGAAAAGTGATTAAAGGCAATGCAAATGATACTGGGCCGCCCGTCCCAGCTGGGGCTGAGGACAAGCAGTCTGTTTGTTCACCTCCAGCCTCTCATCTGTGCTGCCCTTGTCTTTATAAGTGTTCTTTTTAATTGTCTCAGTGCCTCATTGTTCCTACTGTCCCAGGTGGATCTTGGAGCCATAATCTGGGGTCACAGCAGGTGACTAGACCTTCCTTTGAAACAAAGGGTCTTCATGACAATTTTTTCTCCAAAAGCGATTCCTGAGGAATACTTTCTTAGGAACAGGTGTAATTAGCGAACAAAGGGCTGAGCATTAGAAAATCAATCTGGATTTCAGACCAGCTGGCCACTATCTGTGGGTATCTGGGGTGAGTAATTGTATGTAAGTATAAGAGGGAGACTCCCAAAGGCTAGAGTAGCCACCCAGAAGGGTCAGGGGTCAGAAGCGAGACCTTCACATGGTTTCCCACCCTTGCCTTAATATTCCACTTAAAAATGATGGCCCAGGAAAAGGGGAGATTATGTCATTGTAAGGTACAGTGAATGGTGCTCGTTCACTGATGGCTCCAGTAGACAGCAGCTGAATTTTTCCATCCTCTCATGCCATTTGCTAAGTCTTCAGCCTCTCACTTGCAGAGAGGTAGCCTGTTGGCCTGGGAGCAAGAATAACTCACAAGTATTGTTGTAGTGCTGGGAAAGTGAAGGAAGAGGTGAGAAAAGCTACATCATCTAAAAAGGGAGCAAATGTACACGGTAGAGAGTTAGGGGATGAGGATGGTCATGTAGGAATTTTTAATTGCAAGTGAATTCCTTAACTTAAAAAAAAAAAAAAAAGGTGGTGGGAATGAATACTATAGCACAATTCCTAAAAATACTCAAAGCAATGAGCTTTGCTCCTGTGTCTTCAGTCTTACCTTCCTCTTCTCAATATAAAAAATAACAACTACAAAAAAAAATAAGAAGGCTTTTGACACAAGCGGATGGGGCCACCTGGGGTCCTGTGGACCACACTTTGAATAGCACAGTCATAAAACGCCTTGAGGGTTGAGATTAGTTGGAATGGGTTTCTACGGGATCATACTATAATCATAACGAGTGGAGTAAAGGGGCTTGTTTTGGCCTCCCTCCTTTACAATCCAAAACAGCTGCTGGATAAGCTGTAGCCATATTTACCCTACTGTAGAGAAGAGGAAAATCAGCAGCATTCTCCATACTGGATATATGGTTTTATTTTCATATTCTAACCTTAACTGACAAATAGGTCCACTATCAATGATTTTTAGAAGACAGGATAAAATACCAATTATTTTAAAAGGAAAAAAAAGGTTACTTTTGAAGGATCTCCCCCATAACTAACCAAGGTTAATAAAAATAATTTTATGTAACAGCTCAAATGTTTCTGTTACCTGGAAGCTTGTTTCACATTTAATTGATCTTGAAGGGTCCATCAAGAATCCCTCAGAAGTGTCTGTTATTACATGTTCTATGAATCCTTGACTGAGTTTATCATCATTTTTTCAAGGCTCTAGTGGCAAGCGTAAATGATGAGGTGGCATAAGGAAGAACTCTTATAGTTGTTCAAAAATGGAAGGGGCCACCTTGGGAAGCTGTAATTCCATGTCACTATGAGGAGTAGAAAGTGAGGATAGAGAAGGAATATATATGCCAGACAGTGGTGGAAGCAGATGGGCTCCTTCTGACTTTCAGCTTCTGTGACTGAAATGTTTATCCACGTCTCCAGGACCCATCTTGGATACCTCTGGTACCAGCCAGGTGGTCTCTGATGTGTTCCATATGTTCTGACACAGTAGAAGAAAAGGTGGTGTTCTGGAAAGACCCTGGGTGTGGGAGTTAGGATCCCTGGGCTGTAGCCATGGCTCTGCTGCTCACTGTGTGACACTTTCTACCTCCGCCCTCTGGTCTCAGAATTCTCCTCTGTAACATGAAAGGCTATTCCTAGGTGATCTTTACAGTCCCTTGCTGCTCCAATAGTCTTTGGGCCCTAAACAAAGTTGGCAGATGTCAAATGAAAAGTGTGTGAAGTTCTTGGGCCAGTGTAGCACCTATATGGTACAAGAGCCCTGGAGACAGCTGATGGGAACCTGACCAAGGGACAGTCATTGCAGACATGGAGGGAATAACCAATGTGTTACAGCAACTGAGGATGTAACTAGTATCCTGTCACCTCCTGAAAGGGTGGCTTTCTTCCTTTTACCTATAGGCCAGCAGTCAAGGAGGTAAATTAGCAAAACTTGCCCTCCACACTCTGCAGCCCGTCTAGGCCATCTGTGTGGTCTTCTACATAGGGCTGTTATGAGGTGATGTGCTCAAGTTCATGTCTGTCCCTTCTCTATCCCTCCCACTGCTCTGGGTGCCCCTCAAAGGCAGGGCTGGTGAACTGTGCATGTCTGTGTCCCGGGACCTGCACAGTCCTGGAGATGACACCACCCAATAGATCAGTGGTGAGCGAATGAGGAGGAATCAGAGCCAGACGTGCTGGTGAGGGACAGGGCAGGGTTCCTTCTTACAAGTAAAAGGCTGGTCACCTACAGGAGACCACGAATAAGTATTTGTTGGGTAAATGACCCAGCAAACCCTACAGGAGGCCTGGAAGGGCAGCCACAACCTCTCATCACTGGGTAGACACGCAGTGAGCACCTACTATACTAAACACTGTACTTGGGTGAAATGTGAAGACGTAATTCCTCCCCTCAGAAGCTCCACATTTAGGAGCAGAGACAGACAAGGAAGGAAAGAGGTAACTGCTCCTTGATCTAGTATGTACTGGCAAAGAGGGCAGCATGCAGGACTAGGGGAACTTAGAAGGAGATGGGAATCAGCCTGAGGAAGACTTTGCAGAGGAGATGACTTTTAAGTGAAGCCCCTGGGGTACAATGGACCAAGAAGTGGGAGCCAGGGGAGGGATGAGAAGCACATTCCAGATAGAGGGAACAGTCCCCACAGAGGCAGCCTGGTGTGAAAGCACACGATGCATTTGGGCTTATGAAGAATGTCAAAGACGTCATGGGCATTGAGTAAGGATGGGGTGAGTAGGGGTAGAGAATACAGAGAGTAAAAGGTAGGCTAAGTAGATCATGGATGCTAACTCATTCTGAGGAAAATTTTAAAATGTTAAAAATAGAAAATGAACTTACTCAGATTTGTGGTTAAAGATCACTCTATATCTGTGTGAAGACAAGAGCCCATCAAGAGTGCAGGTGGCAGATGATTTTGGCTTAAACTAAGGGGGTGACAGAAAGTATACAGAGTGCAGCAGGCTGAAGGAATATTTGGGTGACATATAAAAGGGGAAATCAAACAACAGTAAGATCAAGACAGACTCATTTAGATATGATAAAAATCACTACCTACATTTTTGGTGAGAAAAGAAAGCTCAGAGAAGTTGATCAATGGAGGAGTAAAAGACTTCAATCTATATTTTCTGACCTCTGTCGAGTGCCAAAATGCTGCTCCTCTATCAGTTTCCTCACCAATGCTGACGTCTCTATAACATTAATTTCATGTCACTGTAATACAGCTGTAGTAATCAGAAAAATTTCGATGAAGAGGTGCAATAACATATTTATTAAAATTTGAGATAACCACATATGTAATTGGGGCCTACCCAATATCTACCTCTCCCTTTTTTCTTATTGTGGACAATATCTAAAAGACTATATGGTCCAGCTTCCCTTGCAGCTAGAGGAGGTCAATGACATGTTAGCTTCCAGGAAGTTCTTTAAAGGGGGCTGCCTCAGCTCAGGGACATTCCATTGCCTCTCCCCACTCTGCCTTCTCTCTGCCTGCAATCCAAACCTGATGGCTGGAACTGTAAGATAAATCTAGCACTGTGAGATAAATTTGATATGGGAGCCACACACTAAGGATGAGGAGTAGGAGATACCTGGGTTCTTAATGACTGTGGAGCCAGCATTCCAGCCCTGGATAGATTACTGTAAACATTTTGGTTGTTTGTTTTTCTGTTTTTATGTGAGAGAAAATAAAACTCCATCTTATTAAAGCTACTGTTATTTGGATTTCTTATTATATACATGGCTAAACCAAATCCTGAGTGATATGAATGCACACTGTGAATTTTAATTGTGGATCATAAGACTATTGAAAAAAAGGCCCCTGCAAAGGAGAGCTGTGCCCCAGGATGTGGAAACAATGTCCTATCACCAGGGGGTACTATTAACAGACAGCCTGGAAATTTCTAAACTTAAAAAAAACTACACAGGGACTTTATGAAGATCCTGTTACTTTCTCCCTAAATATTTGCTTGAGAGTATGTGGCTATTAAGATTTTGGTATTTTTCTGTGTAGTCTTTTAATTCACATATAGATTTAAAATGTGTGTGTATGTATGTATGTATACAAACACAATATTTTAATTTGGAATCATTACTTGCTTTTTCTATTTTTCATATTACAATCCTTAATCATTAACTGTTCTCTGCAAGAATATTTTTAATAATGATATAAAATTTCATTATAATTTATACCACTTATAAAAAATATAAATCTTTTATCACTTCCCTGATTTTTTT